ATTAAAAGTGTTATTTCAGAAGATCAGTAAAATTGAAGACCTTGGTGCAAAAACGATTTAACTCCATTTTAAAAATGTATTAACTAGACCTTAGCTGTTTTATTGTGGATGATTTTTTTTTTTAAATCCAATAAAAGAATATCAAAAACGACAAATAACAAATAAGCAAATTTTCTAAATTATGTATTTCATTACTTAAAATGTTATATCACAATTAAAAATAAATTTTAGTCTGTAAAGCTATCCTCAGGAAGTGGACCATCTTGTTCTGCACCTTGGCACTTTAACGTGTCATAAAACCACATACATTCAGGTGGAAAGTATTTGGCTGCAAGTTCTTTTACTAAATACTTTAGGCGGTTTACTGTTATTGGACCGGAAGTTGAATGTCATTATTTGATAAAGTCAGACAGGTTCCACATTATTGAAGAACAAAATCTTCTTTCAAAAAACCATTGGCCAAACTGCTACATTGTACATAATTTTGTGAGTAATCCATCACACGATAAGATAAGATTAAAAACTTTTCTTTCTGTTTATTTAAGACCTTTTTTTTGAACAAACCAGAGAAATGGCTACTAAAGTTCAAGAACAGCTCTCGGGTTACTGGCACAACACTAAATTTGCGACAAGTATTTCTTATTAAAGAAACCCATTCTTCTGGTAAAAGTATTCTTTCTCTCTTTCTCTTTTCTTTTTCAATCAAGCCAAAACTCCGGTTGCAAGGTAAGAAGCTGTCTCCTGGTTCAGGATAGCGGTGAATTATATTGACTAATTTTTTAGTATTAGCTAAAGTATATAGATAGTGAGCAACTGTTTGATTTTTATTTTGTGAACTACAGTTGTCAGAATACAAGTAGAGTTTTTTGACTGAAATAGCAATAAAATTTTGAATAAAAAAATCCAGACAGCTTATAACATTATTTTGTTCTCTTTTGCCAACTGTTTCATCATACATAAAGAAATAAGACTTTTCAGAACTGCCTGCGTATATACAAAAATTATATTCCCAAAGCTGGCGTTTAAAAAAAAAATATCACTATTTACCAAGTAAGAGAGGTGCATGTTTTGCTGATAATCAAATGTTAATAACTATACTTCATTATTACTTGTCTTTACTTCAGCAATATTTGCTTTCATTTGTGTATAGAAGTAGATAGCTTTTTTTTCATACACTTCTTTTTCAGTAAAAAAAACCTTTTTAATAGGGGGGAAATTCTATATTTCTTGTTTAACCAGTTAATCTTAATTATTTTTTTGAGAAAAGTTCAAAAAACAATTCAGTTTTTTCTAAATTTTTATGGTTAACCTTCTACTTCTATTTTAAAAATTTAAAGATATAAAAAATAAAAGTCTTTGCAAAAGTTTCTTTGCTTATAAAGTTATGCAACTTTTCTTTCAAATTTATGCTATTCAAATTTTGATTGGATAAATTTGATTTTTAATCGTTGCATTTTATAAAAAAAAGTTTTATCTGAAGTCTTTTTCTAAACAAAACCTTTTAAATAAGTAAAACGACAGATTACTTCAAAAAAAAAGTTTTATCTGAAGTCTCTTACTAAACAAAACTTTTTAAGTAATCAAAAAGACAGATTGCTTCAAAATATCTTAATTTCCTTTTTTTTATTTATTTTTAATCGTTATTCAAGCTATCAAGAAGGCTATTCAAGATTTCATTTTTTTCCACTTTTCTTTAATGAAGTCAAGAATAAACCTTCTTTTAAAGTGCCAGTCAGTAGAAGTTCAGTTAAATTCTAAAGGTTTAACAACTCTAAAGATAAACAGGCTAAAGGAATACCGCTACGTAAAAAGCTTTATAAAAAAAAAACTGGGTGATCAAATTTTGAAATTTTCTGCTTTACTCTAAAACGCAGTGAATAGCTAGTTGAAAAAAATTCTAGAAGCATTTAATAAGTATACCTCAAAGAGGTTGAATGATTGTATCATTCTTGCTAGAGTATTTTGGAAAAAATTAGCCTCAGGACTTCAAAAAAGAGAAAAGTATTGTGTTTGGTTGTTTTTTCTAATTAAGTTGTTGCAGTTGGAAAGCTTTGGAAAAAACCCATTTAATTTCAACAGTAGATGTATACTTAACTATTTAAACCATATAAAAAATGAAGGTTTGCGTAGTTTCGAAATATTTTGGAAAATTATTGTCCACTTATTTGTCCAAAAAGTTGAAAATATGGAAAATAGTTGAAACCAGCTACAAAAACAAATGGATAACAATGGAAGAGCAGTAAACTTTACATCAGGTGTGCAAGATGAGTTCTATTTTAGTTTGATTAAAGTTACAAGGCAGCTCATTTAGCTGTGAACTAGACATTATTGAAGTAGATAAAAATATGTTAAAATGAAAAAAAAGTTCGAAAAATGAGGTTCTTTATTTTAGGGATACAATGTAGGTCATTGTCGCGGAAGTCTATTCTGCTTAAATACATGATTGTTGATATAAAAATACAAAACTTTATCTTGTCTACCAAAGAACACGCTCATAACCTAGATGTTCTACATGGAAAGTTCCTGCAGCAATCTCTATCGCATATGAAGACTTTTATAGTTATTTTCCATTTTCAATAGTAAACAATAAACTGTATGAATTATTTTCATATATAATGCTTAATTTTTTTAGTTACTTATAAATCATAAGGTATATTATTGATAATTTAAACAGAAAAAGATTTCTACTTTTCTACTTTTCATATTTTTAATGATAATAATAATTTCATCTATTTTAATTTTGTCAATATATTTACTTTTATTAAAATCAAAGTAGAAGGCTAAATAATTAAAATGAAAAAAAAAGATTATGATTTTTAGAATCAGTATGAAAAACTAATTAAGAAAAATTGGTTAAACTATTGAAAATCTAAAAAAAATATGATTATGGACCCCCCCCCCCCTATTTTTAACCTTTGCAATTTCTTCTGCTGCAATAAGTTTCTCCAATCGCTCACATGTCTGGCAGGTATCAGATTGAGGCTTTCCAAATAAATAGTTAAACCATGTTATGAAGTGACTATAAAAATAATCATACGTAACTATTGGCTTTGTAAAATCTTGCTTATTTTCCAAACTGTTATAAATAGCAGACTCATATTTTTGCAGATACAGTTTGTGCATTTTTGCCATATTTAAATCAGGATACAAATACCATTTATTTTAGTTATTAGTTCTGCTGTAATGAGGTGTTCGCTTTGGAAAGGAGTTGATGTGAACATCAATTTGGTTAACAATGTCTTCAGTTATCATGTTGGGATGGTTTCTGTGTTTTCCATGCTTATCTGTTGGAGCAGGAATATTTTCTTGCAACTGTTTAATAATATGTTCAACCCTTTTTCCACTCACACCATATACTGCACAAAAGGCTATTTTACATACCTTTTTTGCTTTTTTTTCCATTTTTATTGTATATACACAAGAACATAAACATTTTGGGTCGTCACCTTTGTTAGGCCTATGTCTTTCAACTGCTTTTATTTGAATTTATCCTCCAATAAAAACATCCTGTTTTTCTTTATCTACAATACTGTTAAAAGTTTCTAAAAGCTGCAACTTCATAATATGTGATATTTTATCGAAACATTTTGCCCTACAGTTGCAAGGGTCTCCGGTTTTTCTCTCCTGCTTAAATTTTTTTTACTATTCTCAAACCCTATGTAAGTCTTTCCTTCAGCTTTCCTTTTCTTAGCTATTTTTTGTTTCCAAGCATTATGATTTTTGATGTGTTTTCTTGTAAGTTTTATTTTATTTACTTCAAAGTCACTTTCAGAAGTGCTTTGTTCTAAGGTTGAAATATCGGCACTTGCATTAAAGACAGAAATGTTACTTACACTTGACATAATGCTTTTGACGACAAAATTTGGATCATTAACCGAATTATCAAATATACTGCTGTCACTTGCAATAAAAATGGCCATATTATTACTTTTATTAAGTAATGTCCACTAGGTAATATAATTGACAATTATATATATTTATACTATACTGTAATACAGTATAAGGCTTTAATAAACACTAGAAATAATTTAACCAAACTTACATGTCTTTCCAAATCATAATAAAACTCAGGATTAACAAACAAGAACTCAAAGCGTAGAAAACAGAAAATACATTCTGTGCAAAAAGATGGTAACTCTGGAGTTACCTCGTTTATGCACCAAATGATTGTAGGTAATAAGTATTATTCATTCTAGCCTTGCGCTGAATAGCATAAGGAGTGTTCTTATCAAAGTTATTATTGCACCAATTGTTAGAGCTTTTTTTAAGTAGTAATAATATGTTTAAACCTGAGAATTGACCAAAAGTGGAGTTACATCGTTTTTGCACTGAGGTCTTCAATTGTAATCTTTGTTTATTTTTAATAATATTTATGTCCATTGTCTAGAAGTGGCATTGTCCAAAAAAGTGGACATGAGCCTTTTGTGCTCATGTCCACTGTTTTGTTAGCAAATCCACTTCAACAGATTAACAAAAATTATTAAAAACTAATAAAGTTGGAAACTGTAATGTCACTAAAAAAATATTCTTGTGTTTTCCGCAATGGAATCACAATTTTTTATATAGTTACTATATTTTATTTTAATTATTATATTTATTGAAACTTTATATAAGGGCTTTTTGATTACTATATTTACAATTTAAAATGTGGTTAAAATTTGAAATGTGGCAAGATTATGTGTTTTATATGTATTTAATTATACCACATTAAGTGGTATAATTATGTGAACCACATGTGTTCTGAATGTGGGGAAATTCTGATTGTCAGACTATATATCAATCATAAACTAGATTGGAATTTCACATTTTTTATTCCACTTATGGCACTAAGGTCACTTAGGTCAAATATACCTTTCTAATCGAGAAGGTTACATAAAGTGGCCTAATTAGGTAGACACATTAGTGATATCTAGTTTTTTACTTTAAAAGTTTATTCTTTGAGCATTTATATATATAAATATATATATATATATATATATATTTTTTTCTTTCTAATAAAGCGTGTGGTATAGCAACACATCGTCATGCCGGTCTGGTATCGGCTATCGCCAATCAAGCATCAAAAATATTTCCTTCATTAAATGAAGTTCCCATTATCTGTATTGAAGGAGAGAAAACGTAAGTCTTTTATTTATGTGGAAATACAAGAAATATTCTCTATTTGTGTTCAAAAAAATTTGTGCAAATTACATTTAAAATTTTAAATATACTATTTTGTCGGAATTTTTTTTTAGAAACTTGTTAATAAGAAGTGAAGACAAAATGGTTCTTGGAATTTTCAAAACTAAAGTTTAATATATTATCAATGTTGTGATATTTTTCGATCTTAACTAAAAATTTTTTTCCAACTTAACTAAAATAATCCTATTGAACTAAAGAAAAAAACTGAAAACTTTTTTTTAAAGAAAATGGAGGGTGGGGTAGGTAGAGGAGTTGATGATTTACAAATATTTTTTACTTTTTTAATTTACGCTCAGAAAAAAAGATCCCCTTCTATTTTGTATAAAAATGTATAGTTTTTGGTTAAATTTACTTTAAATAACTCTTTTCTAAAAATAAATTATATATGCTTGTAACTTATGCAAAAAACGCCTAATTGTATTGTTTAATTTTTTATTTGTTTAAAATTGGTTATTGTTTTGTAATCGTCTTTTAATATTGATTGTCAAGGCACAGATTCTTTTAAACTCTGGGACTACAAGGTCAAAAATTTTAGGTTCCGTGATTTTATATTACGCATTGTTAGAAGGTATAAGTGCAAATCTTGCAACTTAAATCAACAATGAAGTGTAGTGTCATTCGCGCAAAAACAAAACTGAAATGTAAACGACAATGTCGGCACTGGCAGCGTGTTAGTGCAAATAATGTTTGCAATGACTTAGCTGAGAGTTGACATTGTTTGTTACATCTTTATTTGACGCCAAAGGTTTTATATTTTTTCAGCATTTAAAAATGATTAAAGCTAATAATAACATTTTAATGTGCCTGCTAATACATGCCATTTTTTTTTTAGCTATGTAGTGTTATTATTATTTTTTTTCGATATTGTAGGTGGTTTTTTTATGTTACTATTTCGATAATCGGGTGGGAAGAAAATGTAGAGAATTTAAGACGGTTATCAAAGAAATTTTTTTTTTTAATTCTTATTAAAAAAAAATTCTTTAATTGAAAACTAATCAATTCAATTGAAATACTTAAGATTGGTGTAATTGGTATTGATAAAATTGGTGATGAATGCTGATTGCGAAGCTGGCTCTGGTGCTGGATTTTCAAAAGTTTCAAATTTTTTAAATTTTAATAAATCAATATTGGATTTATTGATAATAAACAAACCTGTTCTTTCAAAAGCGCTGGCTGCGTGAATGAAAGCCGTGGCGCAGTGGTAGCGCACTTGCCTCAGAAACATAAGATCCCTGGTTCAAACCCCACCTCTGGGCAAGTTTTGGGTTGGGAAGGAGGCGTGAACTTCCTATTAAATGCTCTTCCGCGGTGCTCTGTAATAAGACCGTAAGAACTTCTTGGGGCACCTTAATCTACTTTAAAAAAATAAAAATTAAAAAAAAAGCACTTGGCCCTTTCATATATAATTTTTAATAAACTATGAAAAGTAGCTTTACTAAGATTTTAGTACGTTTTTCTCGGTATGTTTAACATGACAATATACTCTAACATCCATTGGTTGCAAAGTATGTCTTGAATGAATTAGTAGGTAAACCAATCGGACGTTTTTTTGACATATTTAATTTTTTTCGTTTCTATGACATAATTTTCAATGACACATGAGTGCTGTGACCATCTAATACAAAAATGAGTTTTCCGCCAATAACTTTAAATGCTGGAATGAATAGTCGTTCCGGCCACTTAATAAATTGCATTTTCTCCATCCACCTTGAATACTCTATGTCATTTTCTCCATCCACCTTGAACACTCTATGTCATTTTCTCTATCCACCTTGAATACTCTATGTCATTTTATCGATTCCACCTTGAATTGTCATTTGAAAAATTTTTACTATGATTGATTTAAATATCTTTTTGATTTATAAACGACGGTAAGAGTAAGCCTGATGCATACATGATGCACTTGTTTACAGCATAGTTAATTGTTTCATGTAAATTTGAGATCACATATATTACGGTTTAAACAATAATACTTTAGCGTGGTTTAAAAGCTATTTAACAAATCGTAAGCAAGTAGTCTATAGTAATAATGACGTTCAAAGTGGATCCTTAAATATAACCTGTGGTGTTCCACAAGGTTCTATTCTTGGACCACTGCTATTTCTTATATATGTCAATGATCTAAACAAAGCCTTTAACCTGATGAGTATTATTTATGCCGATGACACTAACTTATTTCAATCCCACACTGATGTTTACAAACTTTTCTTAAAAACTAATAATGAACTTATAAACATTTCTAAATGGTTTAAATGTAATAAATTAACGTTAAATACTAACAAGACTAAATGGATTCCTTTTCATTCCTTCTCAAAAAAACGTTCTTTACCAGATATTATGCCTCAAATTTATATTGATGAAACTCTAATAAAAAGAGATTCTGTTATAAGATTCCTAGGTGTTTATCTTGATGAGAATATTACTTGGAAAAACCATATTAATCATGTAACCACCAAGGTATCTAAAAATATTGGCATTTTGTATAAAGCCCGACCTTACTTAAGCAAAAAAAGCCTTACGCAGCTCTATTACTCATTCATACACAGCTATATAAACTACGCAAATATTGCATGGGGTAGTACTGAAAAAAGTAAACTACAACGTCTATATCGCCAACAGAAACATGCGATTCACGTGATTAATTATGTGGATCGCTCTACACATTCAAAGCCTTTCTTTGATGAAATGAAAATACTTAATGTCTACAAACTTAATGTTTTCAATGTTTTATGTTTTACTTATATGTGGAAAAACAATTTATCCCTACCTGTTTTTAACGACCTTTTTACGTTAAAACTTACTAATAAGTACTCACTAAGAAATAAAGATTTGCTAAATGAACCATTTTGTAGAACAAATTTTAATAAATTTTATATTAATTATAGAGCACCTTACCTTTGGAATAAAATAGTTCTGCCTAATTTTGATCCGTTTTTCTGTTTTTAAAAATGAATTTAAAAAATTTATTCTTGCTATGGATGACATTTTAAGTTACTATTAGCTTGAAGTATAAACTTGATTTATGAGATTTATAATAATATTTATATTAATAAATTTATTTTCTTTAATTTATATCAGATCTATAAAATTTATTATTATGGATTATTATAACAAATTTGTGAGAATTATTATTACAGATACGTGATTAATATTATGAATTTACTATTATATATTTATTATTACGGCCGTTTTTGGATTTATATTTTCAGTTTTATGGTATGATAAAATTGTAAAGGTTCTGATGATAAGATCAGTAGATCTTCTTTCAGAAGCCTTGTTTTCTTTGTTCTTGTAAAATATAGTATTTATTTTACGGCAAATGTAAACAGAAAAAAAAAAAAAAAAAAAAAAAATTTTGCACCTTTTCCGCCTAAAATTAAAGTTCGTCCTTGGTCACCACTATAACCACACTCGTCACAGTTCTAATTATGTAAAGCTTTCAAGTGATCAATCTTTTGCTTTATTGTATTGTTTTCATAACTGCTAAAATAATTGCCAATTGTATTTGAAGTGCAAGTTGACGCACTGACCTTCCGTTTTCATGTTGACCTGCGTTTATTCTTTTATTTCCGGCAATCAATGTCAATTTTAGTACAATGAACTTGAATGTACACTTTCTTAATGATATTCCTTGCTCTTAATGATGTTTCAAAGCATTTTCTTAGCTGTAATTGTTCTTTAGAATTTTGCAAGAGATAAAATTAATACTAATACACATAAAAATATAATTGGCGTTCATATATAGAAATAGAAAGAAATTAAAGGGTGGCGAGTAATACCGTCTTAACGGAATATTATCGTAGTTTATTATTTACTGACCAAAGTAATTGAGGAAGTAACCAGTGACGATTCAGCATTTTTTGGTGTTTTAAATGATTTTTATTGATTTTGTTCCCAGCCTCCAATCATGGCAATTTTTTGAAAAAACATCATTACTTTACATAAGTATAAACATACAAATGTTTGGAATTTGCTTCATGTTTGGAAGTTAGCTCAACCACCAAATGCTGAATCCTTCACCGGAAGTGAAAACTTATTGTTTTCTTGTATATAAAGAACCACAAATCTTCTAAGAGTGATATTCGATCTCTTTTTGACCACTATCCAGCACAACTAGTCAATAAGAAATCAAGTGTTTACCAAATCATTTTTTAAAGCACTTTCATCACCTGTATCTCATTATCAGGTGCTTGATTTTCCCTAGAAGAATCGACGTTGTTTGTTCTCCATTATTAAGCTTCTTGTTCCGTTGTCACAATATCAAAAAATTTATGTGCACTCGTCACTCTAAATGGAGTCCATCCTTGAGTGCTTAGAAGTTGCTTTAAAGTTGCTCAAAAGCTCAGTATACCTCTCTATCTTAATTATTAAGTTGTTTGTTATGTTATAAAGTCGCTTCAGTAATGATAACAGATTTTATAACATAACATAACGTGACCTTTCTTAAAACATAAACAGGTTTATGTTTTAAGAAAGGTCACTTACGCGTTAACATTTAGTGAAACAAAACATAAATGTTTACAACATTAAACACCATAGTTTGTCTACAATAAGTACTTTTCTGTTATAATCTTTCGTTAACGCATGTCGTGTATTAGATTGATTTTTATCATTTTGAAAAACGTGTAAATTATGAATAAAAAAATGTCAATTGCATTTTTTAAAAAACAAGAATATCATTATGTAAAATAACAGTATAAGAAATACAAAAGCAATCACTAACTTGTGTATTTGTACATGTTTTTAATTTAAATACCTTTTAAAAATATGCCTGCATTTAGAGGCGCCTAACTGCTGCAATGCCTAAAAGATCTCGACGGCCCTGCCCGGACGATACTAATATATCTGCGTTAGTATATATTAAGGTGTCCCAGCTGCCCCAACCAATATATTTTGTGTTTTTAATTTATATATAATGTGTTTATATGATTTTCAAAAAATTGAGCCAGCACAATAGAATTAAATATTACGTTAAATTATTGAATTTACATCTTTTTAGACTAAAATACTTTAAGGATAAAAAACGCAATATTTTTCACCCAAATATATAATATCATATTTACAATGTAATTAATTATTATAAAAATTGTAGCCTCACTTATGTATTTAATCATCGATTATCATACAGTGCTAGGAACTTCGATCTCTCTTGAGAACATGACGATAGTTTGCGCTAATCTGTAACTTTTTTTCGTGAACTTTCAACTACTTAGAGTAAACTCGTTCACAAAATGGAAAAACCTCATTGATTAAGGACCAATCAAATTTTTCAGTGACTTTATCTCCTCTGAAATTAGCTTAAGGTTAGGCTTTCAAAGGATAACTACACGATTTCCATAGGATCTTACCAATCCGTAATACTTCCAACACTTTCAAATTGGAGGAACCGCAGACTCATGTTCTCTTTATGATACCGTTTGTAAGAAAAGAGCCAATGGAACAAGCTCTTCATTCACATATCAAC